GGTTGGATCCTCATCCGCCGCCCTGGTTGGATCCTCCTCCGCCGGTGCGATCTAGTCCTCGGCAGTATAGATCTCTTCCTCCGCCGGCGCGATCTAGTTGGCGGCGGTAAAACTCCTCTCGATCTCCCCCTCCGCCGCCGCGGCGAGGACCTTGATTCCACCGGCGATTATTCCCTGGAAATCCGTGATTGAAATCCATTGCTGGAGAATGATTGGTAGGGTTTAGGTTGGGGACAATGGATCGGTCGGGGAGAATGGATCGGTTGGGGACACCTTCACCTCCTTATATAGACCAAGGGGTAACAGGAATGTAAGAACTGAGAAAAGAGGAGAGGAGAGGAGGGTTTTTGCCATAGTATGACTACCGACTTAGATGTTTTGTATCAAGAAATGGGGAGCAGGCGATTGATCGTGGATGAACTACAGAAATCCGACTGAGGGAAAGAATGAGGCAGCAGGTACCGGATTTATATTTTGAGGAGAACGCCGTACCCCCAACCAGTCTACCCATTTATCCCCTCTCTCCACCACTCATTTTTACCTCAGTTTATTTATTTAATTTTTTTAAAATTACTTGTCCATTTTTGTGGTAACGGAGGAAGTGGGGACAAATAGGATACACATTTGGTGTACCCCTAGCATTTTTCAAACAATAAAGAAAAATGTTAGGGGTACACCCCATTTGTCCCTCACCCCCTCCATTACCACATAAATGAGCAAGAATTTTAAAAAGATTTAAATAAATAAAAAATAGATAAAAATGTGTGGTGGAAAAAGGGATGGGGGACAACCAATTTGGTGTACCCCCTAGCATTGCTCAACAATAACTATTCCACTCCCACCTAATTCACACCCAATTTGGATTGACCCCAATTCTGTTAAACCCGGTATCGAATAGTCACAAAATTGATTTGACCCTATATTGATCTAGCTCACAACAAATTAAACTCAAAGCCACTCAAATCTATTAGCTCATGTCTTTCTAATAAAACATACTTTAAATTATTAGGTTAAACTGATTTCATGTACAAATCTTTTACTCTATATATACGATCACTTAAACTAACATGATTGTCTATTTTTATATAGAGTATGATGGGTATATCCCTATACCCGGCCCAGACAACCGAAAGGGACAGGTCAAAATATGACCGGTCACTTTCATCAATCACCAAATGATGTTAACTCCTCGATTGAGACGGGTCAAAAGTTGACCGGTCACTTTCCTTAAAAAAGTGACCGGTCACATTTTGGGCGATAGCCAATTCGTCACTTAATGTTACGAAGGACATTCTAGAAGACCAAAGAGGCGGGTTGAGTGCATGAAATGACCGGGTAACCTTTCAGAGAAGGTGACCGGTCATATCACTTTACTTGGCTAACATTGGTCCAGTCTCTTAGGCATGGTGAACCACGTCAGAAGTCAAGAGGACACCCTGCCGCTCATCCCTCACGAGGCACACAGTGAAAGGGATGTTTGTCATTTTGCAGGGTTGATTGGATTGAGAATATCCATTTTAGTCTTTGATTGAACAGTGCTTTTTGGTTGTATTAGTAACAAGTCCATGATTGTACAGTGCTTCCATTATCTACAGTGCCCTTCCCACGAGCTTCCTATTTTGTCCATGGATGAACAGGAGAAGATCACAAATCCTCCTCTATAAATATGATGATATTTGATAGAGGAGGGAATGGATTCTTTCTCTCACTAAAAAACTAGTACACTCTTGAGACAGAGTAAGAAATATATTTCGGACTGAGGAGATTTACCCGGTCTAGGTCATACTTTGTGTTCTTGTTGTGTGTTTTATATTACGGGTCAAGTGTCCAGATCAAACCCGGTCAACCCACCCATCTATATTTACACCATCAGAGTACACAATTTATAGTGACATCGTAACACATATTGATTGTATATACAACCCCCTTTATACAAGGCTAATATTAGCAACTATAATATCAACGAATCTCATCTGAAACAGGTATAAATCCAAACCGGTATCTAATCGTCGAATCGAAACTTTTTTAGTGTAAATAAAAAAAGCAAATGAATAAAAATTTGTTGTCAAAAATATATCCCTTGTTTTATTTAGAGACAAAACTAATCAAAAAATTACTTCAAATGTATCCTCAATTTTCTGGTAATAACTCACATTTCTTACATTATCTAAAATATACTCTAGGGTACCCTCGATTTTATGATAAGAATCGTTGGGTTATGGAACCCGGGGCCTAGGTAACTAGGCGGAAGAGTATCGAATTGAGTCGAGAGTGCAGAAAATATGGGGTCAAGTAAACTGAGAGTAATATTGTGCTAGTTATAGTATAACTCAGAACGTAAGTCCCAACGTGTGGTGCGTGTGTAGAATGAGCTCCCCTCCTTCTCCCTCTTCCAAGAAGAGGGGTATATATAATGGGAGAGTGAAGGCTAGGGTTTACATACAAAGACCAATGGGTCGGCCCAACAGGCTAGGCTGCCCTAAATAAGTACGGAGTAATTGATAAACGACTAATGGGCCGATCGCACAAACTGGACCACCCCAATTAATATTATACAAAGGCCGGATACCCCCTGTCCACGGTATCCATCAAGAACTATCATGCCCCACATTGTTCGAAATATACTCCAGCATTCTTAAATTTTATGATATTATTTGATTTGATTTGTGTGATCTTGTTTGATTTGTCTTAACATATAAATTATTAATATATAATTTCTATAATTTTTTAATATATAAATTACAAGATAAAATGGATTAAAGAAGTGTATTGAATGGTGTGTAAAAATGAAAATGGACAAATACTTTAGGACGGTGGTAGCATCTTTTATCTTGCAAGTTTTTATATATTTTACTTTATTTTTTTAAAAAACTTTTTTATGGAGTATGAAAATTCATTACAATTAAAGTTTAATTTATTTTTAAACAATCATTCGTGCATTTCTAATAGATTTGAAAAATTCATTATCGATAATGCCTAAACACATGCACCAATACACAGAGTACGTGTTAACCATTAAATAACAATTAATTTTATCAAATTCTTTATAAAATCCTTCCCTTTCTAACACAAAATAATCATTATTAATATTAAAGATTAATAAAACCTTCAATTTTTATAACATAATTTCGATAAAATAATGTGGTCATGTCAGATATTGTTTTGTAGAGTTTTTTATGTAGTTTTTAATATGTAAAGTTTAAGTTTTTAATCTTGCTTCAATTCTCCAATAAATTGCATTGGAAATAACTTGAGTGAAACATCGTAAACCAAAACAGACAATTTAAACTGGGACATGGGGAGTAATATAATTACAAAAACAACATTGTATATAATGTTTAAAAGTATCCATCATTAGTTTTATTTTAGTATTTTTCAAAAACATTATTGTACAAATTTTAAATGTATACATCTTTATATAAAAAATTGATATAACACATGCAAAGTATTATATAATTATTAGAAAATTACATTAAGAGCATGTTAGTAATTCAGAATATATACGAGTCCGTGCAAAACACGAGATTAACACTAGTTATTGTGTATATTTAACCATCTCTTGGTTCTACCGTTCTTCTACCACTTTCAAATAACCAATACAAATATTTATGATAATTATCTTTAACTCTTTATGACAAACATGCAGTATTTTACTTTCAAAAAATATCAACTAATTTCTTGGATATATTAACATTATAACGATACAACAAATTGCTATCTACTTAGAAAAGGCAAAAAATGATCCGATCTATTTTTGACTCGAAACTCGACCTGAAAACATTGGGTTTTGAACAAAGGTTTTGATCACTGAACCCGAAGTTGATTGAACTCAAAATTGTTGGGGTATCCCTCCTACATGGAGGAAGAAGTTCCTAAACAATACATTTAGTGTTAAAAATGTAATTTGTTTAGAGGTGGAGTAATATAATAATAATAATATTTATTATTATTATTGTTATAAAGAAAGGAAAAGAAAGTGTGGTGATGGGGCTACACTTACCTATTATTGGGCTACCACTTTTTTGAAAGGAAATTGCCTTTCTTTGTTTTGGCTGGTCACGGGCAGAAAGGAAGCTGCACAGCAGCAGCAAAACAGAGAATAAATGGGGTGAGAGCCGAGAGAAGGAAGAAGAGAGAAAAAGAGAGGTGCAGCCTGGTTTTGTGCTCCGATCAACGACCAAACGCGCTCCGATCGGGATGAAATTTTAGTATGTTGTTCCTCGCATCCTCTTCTTCATATCCAACGGTGGGATTGTTGTTTTGACCTCTCGATGTCGGTAAAATCGCCTCTATTTACTGCTGCGTTTTTATTGGAGATTTCTCACTTTTGAGTGAAGATTATTGTTGTTTGGTGTTCCAAGTTGTTACTTGATGATTGTGTATACCTGTAATTGATTTAGAGAGGATTCTTGGTGTACCCACTGATTTTCTTGCTGATTAGTGGAAGGCTTCGTGGTTTTTTCCCCGATTTGGGGTTTCCACGTTAAATCTTGGTGTTCGTTTATCGTTTGATTGATTGCTTGTTGTCGTGTTTGCTATTCTTGATCAGTCATATGATTTTGCCCATTTTGACAACACAAAGACGGGAAAATTATTAATTGCTTCCGCTAGAAAATTGAGGTGATTTTCCCAACAAAAATGACCCGCTAAAAATGGGTCAAATCTGACCAAACCCGAAACCAACCTGACTGACCCGCTAAAGTAAGAATTTTTCAAAATCATATACTTACTACTCGTTTTTAGTGGCAATGCCCTATATGTTCAAGGCCAATTAAAAAATTAACACAAAAGGTATTCAAATCAGACATCAGCTTGGTCGAGAATTAAGGCTAACCTGCTTCAATCTTGCAGAAGTATGGTGCTGTTCTGCTGAAACCTCCAAACTGTGTGTGTCATGTAGAAGAAAATCTTGAACTAAACACACAAGATGAATTAATTGAATTACATTTGGAACTTTTTAAGCATTCAAATACGAACTATTTGAGCATCATTCAAATTAGGTCATGAGTTTTTACCTATAGGGAGACAAGAAAGGAGTAGGACTGAAACAAATGCGTGGAAGAAGAAATGGAGGGAGAGCTTAGGAACCTGAGAAAATGCCATGAACAGCACAGAAACTCCGAAAATTTGAGTCGACGAAAGGGTAGCGCAGCTCCAGAGATTCTAGAGGTGCCATCGGCGTCTTGAAAACTGCCGGCGGTGGCCTGCGGAAACTCACTCCCCGATCTAAAACCGCTAAAAGTTTGATACCGTTTTTGGCCCCTAAAGTGTTCTCAGGCTTTGAAGGGGAGCCAGCGTGCCAAGTTTATTAGGGAGTATTTATTCTTTATTCAAAATAGATGGGATCAGGTGAAGATAATATCATCTAAATGGTATATAGGCTTAGTTTCGTTTCTCGGTGGGTTTGATTTTTAAAAGCTTGTAATCGAAACTTGACCAATAAACGTGACATATAATTGGATGAGTAGTTGAAACTTACAGTGAAAATCTGGTTACTTTGATTGTCGATTTAAGATTTCCAGTCGATTTGGTAAAATGTTCAGTCCTAACTCAAGTTTCAAGAGCCTGAAATACCGGCCTACCTAGAAGGTAGTTTGAACTTCATGCTACACAAAGTCATCATTCATCATCTTTCATTGTCATTGTCGTCAAAAGTTGGATTTACTCGACATAATTTTCTAGGGATGAACATGGTACGGTATGGTATGGTATTTAGCTCGTATCGATACCGTACCAAATATTTCGGTTCCGTATGGAATTTTACCCAGTACCGATCCCGATCCCAAAATATCGGTTCGGTATCCGTTTCGGTACAAATCGGGATAAATATACATAACTACTTTGCACGTTAAAATTTAACATTGCCTCATTACTTTTGAAAATTAAAAAGTGAATTTAAATAAAAAAAACATGAAAAATTAAAAAAAAAATGAATATTTAAATGCAAGAGATGCGTATCAAGACTTAGTTTATATTTCACAAACTAAAAAAATGAACGACAATAAATGAGTATTTCAAATCTTTGTGAATACTTTTATGTTCATACACAAAAGTTAAAACTTAAATAATTGTATAATTTACACATAATAGAATTTGAACTAATTTTTTTTTAAAAAAAATTACACAGAGTATTATTTAGTAAATGAATATAAAAATATTCCTCCGGGATATTATTTTTTATAATATTTTAGTATATATGTTCGGTTCGGGATTTTCAGTATGAGAAGTCCCCTCGTACCATTCCCAAATACCGTACCGACCATTCGGTTCGGTATGGTTCGGTTCCTTCTCGGTATTTTTTCAGTTTGGTATTTTTCGGCTCGGTATTCTCAGTTTTTTCGAGAAATTTTGGTATCGGTTCGGTACTTGCTCACCCCTATAATTTTCTATTAACCAACTAAGTTGCGACTTCAAATTTATTTAAATTATAAGTAATTTTAAGCTAAATTTTTTCATATATAGTGATTTTAGCATAGCATACTTGTGTAATTATGTTAGAGTATTTTTGGTATTTACGGCACAAATCGTGATTATGTTAAAGTATAATGTGTATTATTAAGATTATATTGACACTCATTTTAGGTGTCATAACATGTCACGTGTCTAATTGAAACTTTTTCGATACTTCATTCTAAAAATTAATAGTTCCTACGACATTGGTAAATTTTCATCCCGGTCCGACTCAAAATCACCCCTATTAAATTTATAATTGGTGTCAATCATCATGGTTTTTATGTATGATTATATTTTTGTAAAGATACAATCACATAAATAATCCTAGAAATTCTTAATTTTACAATTTTATTCTCAAGTGCAGATAATTACTCTTTTGCTCCCATATAATTTTTATATTTATAATTTCAAACGTCTAGGTTCCGTGGCTATTGGGTTCTAGTGGCCACTGAAGCCACTGCCCTTCTACGGTGCTCCGTTCATAAAATTAATTATTCTATCTCCGGTAAATCCCCCCGCCTAGTCCAGACCCCAACTCATCCCCCACCTACATCAATTGTACCCCGTAAGTATAATTTACTTTAAAGTCAAAACTTTTGAATTCAAAGTCAACTAAAATTACGGGGTACAATTGATGTGGGTAAGGGGATGAGTTAGGATCGAGTCTTGGTAGGGAAGGTTTACCGGGGGGTTAGATAGAGTAGAAATCATCAATTTTATGAGCAGAGTACCATAAGTGTCCGTAGGGGGACAATGACTTCTATAGCCACTGGAATCTAGCGGCCATGAAACCAGACCGAACTTCAAAAGTTAATATGGATACTTATTAGGTGGTTGAATAGTTGTGATTTCATTTAACATAATCGAAACTGAAATAAATATGACTCTTTATATTCTTTTAATTTCATGTTTTTTATTATAATAGTTTACACCCTAGTTTTCCCATTTCCTTTAAATTCCTTCCTTTTTTTGTTTCAGCTCTCTTAAAATTCAGATAAAAAATAATATTTGTGAGTGCTTGATAGTTTCCATAGATTCTATTGCACCAACGCCCCTATGGTTTAGTAAATGTGTATCATTACCCTCTATGGCTTAAAAACTTATGTTGTTGTTCCATGTGGTTTTAAAATTCTTATGCGGATGCCCCTCTTAACTAAAATACTCTTCAAATTTTAAATGAATAGCTCCGTTGCCCGGCTTGCCCCTATTATTTTGGAAATGTGCATCAGCGTCCCCTCTCTTTTTTTCTTTATTATCTTTTTCTCTCAAAGAATTTTTTTTTAAATATTATTATGCTTTTGACTTTTGAATTTTTGCATAGTAGTTATTACAGTTTATTAATTTTATGAAATACTACGTATTTATTAATATTAGTATATTATTAATTTAGCGGGCTGGCCCGGCCCGAAGCCCGTTGACTTTCGTATGGGCCGAAAGAAAGCCTATTATTCCGGCCCGAAATCCGGCCCAGCCAGTTGTTTGATCAGGTCTATTCCTCAACAATTAAGGTCTTCGTCTCAAGAGAAGGTTTGGGCTGGGGCTTCTTAATCTTGCATCTCTCTCTGTGACAGCGAATTCAAAGATGGCGTCTTAGTTGGGACACGTACGGGACGGCATGATCAGGTTTGTTTTATTCAGTCAAATCCGATATCGTCGAGAACCAAAACCTAAATTCTTCGTTGAAAGAAGCAGCAGCCCCAATCTCCGCCGTAGCTCCAGGTACCTCCTCCGCCGCATCAGTCGTGTTCCAAGTGCATTATATCCTGAGATTAAGCTTGGCAGGAGGAAATCCATTGACAGAGTTCCTGCAGGAGAAGGATTGGCAGCCGTTAAGGGAGTCATCATCCCTTGAGCTTCCTTGGTCTACACACGAGGGGGGATTAATCATAGATATGCATGATGATACTAATCTGCAAATATCTCAAGCCCTTACACTCCTTAGGGTTCCGAAATTCCTTCATCAGTGGATCGTAGACATACTCCGCAAGGGACCTGCTGCCATCTCACCCCTCCCTGGCTTAGCTCCGAAGATTGTGGTGCATCTTTTCGAGGTTACTCAAATCACACTTCCTTTTATTAACGAAGAAGGAAAAGCAATCTACCCAGAGTACATAGATGATGAAATGTATGACCATGTCAACTATCCTCCTCCTCGAACAGAAGAAGAAGAAATTGCTCAGGCAAATTTTAATGATTATAACAAGAAATGTACTGTGGGCGCAGGAGACATTAGTGAAGAGGATGAGGATGCTTCAATACGAGATTGGTTTTTGAAATTAACTCAAGCTATTGACATAATTGCTTGGCAGCAAGTTAAGGTAGAGGTGGCAAAAGAGGCAAAGCAGGCGAAGGAGGAAGATGAAGCAAAGGAGGAAGAGGAAGAAAATGTTGAAAAGGAGGAAAAAGAGGAAGAAAAGGTGGAAAAGGAGGGAGAGGAAGAAAAGGAGGCAAAGGAGGAAGATGTAATAAAGGAGGCAAAGGAGGAAAAAGAGGGAGAGGAAGAAAAGGAGGAAGGGCAAAAAGAGTGGTCAAAGGAGGATGCAAAGGAGGAGGAAGAGGTGTTGACTTGCCCCATCTGCATGGAAATAATAGTAGAAGCAGACAGGACATGGAGGCTTATGCCTTGCTGCACTCAAGTATTCCACTGTGATTGCATCTCAACGTGGACCAAACGTGCCAAGAAGTGCCCCTGGTGCCGTTCCTCCTTGCCCCTCGTGCTTCAGTCCGCAAAGGGCTTTATGCATCGATCAAGTTCAGATGATATGTATTGTCCAAGTTCTCCCAGGGTTCATGATCTATTAATGGTACTATGGCATGCTTTATCTGAAAAAGTTTGGTGGATCAACTGGTCCGGGCATGATGTTGGTTGCAAGAGTGGTTGTCTCATGGACATGATACGAGCTTAGCAATTAGCATCAATTTGATTCATTAAATTGGAGGATTTTATTTATAGTAGCTTGTTAATTTAGTTATAGTGAGTAGTAAACATCACTCACTAGTATAAGACACTGTCCAAGAAGAATCTGTTTGTTAATGTGCTATCATGAAGACCCTTTTTTTGTGTACATTTTTTTTTGTTTGTATAAGAACCGCCCACTCCATTTTCTTCTATTTTCTGAAAGAGGTTGCTAATTTAGATGAAGGGTACCGAAGGCTCATGTTTTTGGTTGCTAATTTGGATATTCTTATTCGGTTTTAGTCTAATTTATTTGTTTGTATAATGACCACCCACTCCTTTTTACCCTTCATCTTTTTTAAAACAGTACTAGATTTTGCGGCATGCGGACTCATTCTCATGATCTTACTTAACTTCGCTTAGTTTCATGTTCATGTATGTTGGAGCTTTGATTTTTTTTGATTTCAAATTTTCATGCTTGTTTTTTGAGAAAATAAAAATTTCGCAAAACTAATGTAGAGTATCAATTTTGAATTAGTTCATCAAAGAAATCAGTCATGTAATTCATGAAATTTTTTACTGAGTTTTGGTTGAAGCCCCTGTTTAATTTATTAAGCATGATTGCTTAGAGTTCATATACTTTCTTTACTTTCCAAAAAAAGTATACTAGGGTATGCTCTTCTTTCAGCTCATTTGGCATTAAAACATGCATTTAAATTTAAGCCCTTTTTGGTATTAATCATATTATATTCTGCTTGCTTTGATTTTTTTTAATAGTTAAGACAGGTTCCTAGTTCATATCCTAACCGTGTAAGAAAAACTGAAACAAGTGTCGAGCCTTTGAAGCACTGGGGCAATGTTGTTTTTGTTGTAGCTAACAACAATAATGACAAACTCAAGCACATTGATTCCCAACTTTCAAGCTTTGTAAGTTCACATTAATTCCTCTAATTTTCTCTTAGTTTGTCTTTCGTATACAAAGTATGTTCATTTTTAAAGTCGATATAATTTGATGTTTTTAGAGAGACTTCTAAGTCACACTCACATCTTGATACTAATTGCCTCTTCTCCATCAATGGAGCCACCCAATGTAATTTTAGTTTTGTTTTGGAGAATTATGTTACTTAGTTATCGGTGAGGTTCTAATGACACCGGAGTACGGTGACACTCCGGTTCCACTGTCATTTTGGGGCACTTTCGGTACTCCGTTTGCAAAATTGATGGTTCCTACTCCCTAAACACCCCCCCTAAACCCTCTACCCCCCTGCCCCCCTATGCACCCCTCCAAATGACAGTGGCACCGGATTGTGTCACCGTACTCCAGTTTCACTAGAAACTCACCGCTAAATGGAGTGAAATCCGTTGACACTGGATTCCAGTGTCAACGGAACCCCACCATTTAGTTATTTACTTAAGTTTCTATATCTTGGGAACATCATCTCTATTTTCAAGTAGGGTGAGGTTTGCATACACACTTCTCTGTCTTGGAGTACTCTTGGAAACAGTACTTAAGTTTCTCTATGAACCACCATATTCCATAGATGTCGGATATTGTCTCTTTTACCTCATAAAACCGTATGATGTGAGGATGCACAAATAAACAACCTTAGATTTTTTGTTTGCCTTCTAACTATACGGTGAAGAACATACCAATATTAAGGAAGATGTCAATTAAAAACAGCCTTAATGTCTACAAATAAAGATCTAAAATGCAAAATGACCATTGAATCAGGAAGCAATGTGAAAGGAAGCATGTTTCAGTGTAAGTGAATAATGCCATTGGGGAGAGTGCTGCTTTGAGCCAGATCTAATTTGAGAAGCACACTGGCAGAGAGTTGGATGAGCATAAAGCAGAGCACCAAATTCCTGAACCACATTTGAATAGGGTCATACTTTGGTTGTTTAGAATGATAAAAAGAAAGCGAGAAACTACAAAAGAAAGAAGTACTCCGTGTATCAGTACCTTTTTCTTCCATTCACATTTTTTACAGTATCTCTTGTGATTAGGAATCTTGTAAGGAACTTTATGCCTGGTCAATGCATGTTCAACTACTTTCAATTTACAAAAGGATTCAATGCCAAGAGTTTTGCCAAGTTATTGTTCTTCAAAAAGAGCCTGAGTCCACATTAGCATACGCTGGGGCGTATGATCCATCCATTCTCCTATAAGCAAATGTAATGTACGATCTAACTTCGAATAGGTGGAACTATAATTAACATTAAAAATGCCTCCAAATAGAAAGGAGTTCAAATAGCATTCTTAGAATGCATGGCTGCAACACTGCTTTCTGTTTTTATAAGATCCTTTTGTAACCATAACTATCCCAAAAGAAGCATACTTTCTCTCACATATTTTCTACACGCTGCTATGATGACTTTTCCATTTCTTTTTCTAGGATTTCTGTCGTTTTTATTTAAATGTTTCAAAGTCTAGTACTTTTTATAGAATAGGAACCAATGAATAGGTACTGGAGATGCTGGTCATTATCTCTTTACGTCATGTGTAACTTTCTGGAAAGTGGAATGTCATTGAATCATCTTCCCCATTTTGTGTTTACAGGCAAGCCATTGAAGGACACGATTCCTTACATCCAATGTTTAATTACATTTATAAAAATCGTCAGTTTGGAGAAATCAGGTTCATTGTACATGAAAACTTCTCTTCTTTTGCATAAAGCTCTTACCACCATTTTAAAGAGTTTTTCTGGTTATTTTTTTCTTGATGGACTGAAAAGCTTTGGACGTTGTTCTTGAAGGTTACTAATCATATTTTTATATTATTCACAGCATAATTAATCTCCTTAGGGATTACTGATCCCTGTTATTCCACCACAAAAATGAATCATCATATCGTGTGTAGGATTCCCTCTGTCAAGTTCATCTTTATCACCTGTTAGAATGCTCTTTCCACATTTCATTCCTCCAAAATTTTGGGATAGTCATATAAAAAGAGGTTCATTAATCTGACGTAAGCACCTATTGCTTGGTTCCGGTTCTAGAAAAATACTGTAGTTTAAAACAAACACATACAAAGGACAGAAATCATGGAAAAGGCCTCAAACCAGCATGTAGGAAATAATATATTGAAAGAATGCTATAACCACCAGTGACTGTTATGTCCTCTTATCTCAGTAAATTTTCCCCCACTTGGAAGTTGCGGCATCTGAATTCCAAGTCTTGGGTGGCGAATGCAGGTATATTGCTTATTAGCCCTTAAAACTCTATATGGTCTAAAGATTATGCAGTGTAATTAAGTTTGATGAATGAACATCTAGAACTGAAAAGAAAAAAAATCACATTATTACTCATAGAATTGTGCGATTCTACTCAATTACTCTCAAATTCAATAAATGACACCATTGTTTCCCAAATTTTACATGTTTAGATCGTGAATTGAAACTCATTTGGTAGATCCTAAATAATCTACAAATTAATGGTTTTATATTTTATTAATGTAATCAAGCAATGCTCTTAAGAAATTATGCTGCTACAATTCATGCTACTAATCCAGGTAGTGTCTTTAAAATGGGCACATCTCAATCATCTAATGGCGGTGTAAGGTTTGATTGCTTGTTTTATATGTTGGCCACATGCAAGGATGGGTTCTTAGCTTGTTGTGGGCCATTGATAGGTTTAGATGAGGCTTTCTTGAAGACCAGATATTAGGGGCAAATGTTGTTTGCAATAGGTAGAGATGGAAATGAAAATCTGTTTCCTATTGCTATAGCTTTTGTACGTAGTGAAAACGGAGAGACTTGGAGTTGGTTATTTCAAGAATTGCATGATCAAATTGGGTTTGTGCTTCACAGATACTGCTTGTGCTATGTATGCCAATTTTAGGTAAATATTCCCTAGTTTGGAGATAAAAATTCTGTTTAGGAAGCTAGCTACATCTGGAAAGAAAAAAGCATTCAATAGATACCTGAATGGGATGAAACAGCTGGACCCAAAGGTTGGGAATGGACAAACTGCTGCTGAATCCATGCTTAGTGAACTCAAGAAATGTTGGTCAGATACCATGCTAAGTGCGGCATAAAAGTTAACAGTGCTTGTGAGTCGTTTAATAATTACATGCTTGAAGCGTGAGACAAACCTCCTATTACGTGTCTCGAAGAGTTTATGACAAAGATGTGCAAACAGATTGCAAATCAAGAGGATGGGTATGGAAGTGAATGAAGATTCTGTTCTGCTATCTTGTGAAGAACTGCTGCTGATGCTACCCAAGCTGTGAATGGATGGATAGCCAGGTGGAGCTGTTGCCCAAAATACGAGGTTTATGGCCCTATGTCACGGGTTTGGTGGATCTTGGCAAGAAACTGAAGAAAGTGTGCACGTGTTCCATGTTCCAGCTACAAGCATACCCATGCAGACCTGCTATGGCAGTCATATGCACATATGGGAAAAATTTAGAGGATATATTACATTGTCAATTCCTATTCAAAAGCTGGTGTACTTAGCGTGTTATAACCAAGACGTGCGTGCAGTGCGTGGGAAACATGACTACGTTAGTGGCAGTGGGTACATTTAGCTACACGTTTTAAAGGCACTTTGGCAAATCCAACACTCCAAGCGTTGGAATGCAATTTAAAGTATGGACTGCTTGTTTTGTTTTAGTACTCTGTTAAACTGAAATTTGTCGATTTAGCTATATTGTTAAGGTATTTTAAGCTGCATAATATGGTATACCTATTGATTATGGCCAAGTTTGCTTTGACTAGCCTGTATCCCTTGTATCCCTGATTGTTCACAAGAATGTCTATTGCGAATGAACATGTTTTTATTTATAAACTGTTTTTATTAATAATCAAAGGGTGTTGCAATACAAATAATCAAGTGTCTTGCAATATGACCAAAAACTCAAATTGTAAAGGATCTTTTGTGTTTTCCTGCTCGATGAAATATCATTTGGCTCCGTTGAGGAATCTGATTTCGCCGTTTCGTATGTATCCGGAAGAAGCCATCATTGTTCATTTCTTTATCAAAGAACAAGAATACAGTGGTTCCCTTGACATTGAAACATGTCATGGGATGCCATTGGCCCACCATAGTCCTGATTCGAACTTGCCCCCCAACACTAATTTTGGAGAGTGCAATTGGAAGGGGTGAGAGGTAGTAGGGGTGAACATGATACAGTATAATAAGGTATTTACCTCGTCCCGATATTGTATCAAATATTTGTGTTTGGTATGAGATTTTATGTCATAGCGATCCTAATCTCAAAGTATTGATTCAATATGGTTTAGTATCGGTTTTAGTATAAATTGGAATGTAATAAATATTTGAATACCCAGTTTACACTTTAAAATATAACAAAATCCTTTATTTTTCAAAAATCAAACGACGTTTGAATTAAGAAAGATAAAAAATTAAAAAAGAATAATTAAAGCATGAAATGTTTATGAAACTTATTTTATACAGAGTATTATAGCATTTCAAATGTTTTAAGGGTATTTCAAATGTTTTTTTAAAGCGTATTTCAAATGTTTAATTTGTAATTCATCTACACAAAATTAAAACTCAAATCAATGCATAAATACTCCGTATAATTATTTATAGCTTTATTAATAATTTCCATTTTCCATTAAATCTATATTACAATTAACCAAGGGTTCATAGTTCAAGCTTAAAACTATGGACTAAAAAGACCAAGAGTAAGATAGGAGTGTAAGATTCCATTTTAATCCTAATCCCCATCAAGTATTTCTGTGTATTGGCACCCCAAAACTAAACACTGTTGTATTTGTCTTCTGGAGCCTATCGCGAAAGTATGAAACTTGGTGTTGGTACACTAAATTGGCAAGAACCCGTCACGGAGTTTGAAACTCCACCCGATCTCCATCAGCCTGAAAACCCCATAATGATGACCAACCATGATTAATTAATAAATGAGATTGTCAGTATATTCTTCAAGCTATAATGGCTGATCAAGAAAAATACCATATTCGGATGTTTCATTACAGAAATGGTGGAAATGTGTTGTCTTGTAGAGTCACGAGAAAGCAGCAATCTGGTGTGTGGAATTCCCTTCCAACTCTCACCAAGTGCAGGTTTCATAATGCCCCCCTTTCCCGCTACCATATGATTAGTTACCTATTAAATCACGATCAACGATATCTCAAGGGTGGGAGAATTTAGTACTAATTTATTGAATATTTGTACATGAATAGAAGGCGAATGGGAGAGATTTCTTCTTACTAACCAAAACAGCAAGCTCATGTTCATCTGCTAGATGCTTCAGCAGGAATCCTGCCGAGACCATCAAACCATGTCCTGTTTTTACATCAAATAATTATGACCTTTAGGGGCTGTTTGGTTCAAAGGGAGGAGATATAGGCGAGGGAGCTCTGCAGCCCTTATCTGTTTTTTTCTCTGTTTAAAGATAGGGGAAAGATATTTGCCCCCCAATCCCTTTGCTAATATATTAATCAAACAATGGGAAGAGAAAATTTTCCATCCCCTATCTTTAAACAGACAAACATGTTTAGTTAGTTAGTGATACATTTTAGTTTAAATACAAATAGTTCCCCGAACACTGAAAAGCATAACAAAATATTTTAAAAACTTTGTTTGGAACAAAGAGGAATATGCAGAACAACACTGAAAAGCATAACAAAATCTTTTAAAAACTTCGTTAGGAACAAAGAGGAATAGCTGGAACAACTAAGACGGATAAAATAATGAAAATGCCATTTTAAATTAGAGCCAAACATGCACGAGCACTAATTAGGTCCAAATTGTATAGTAAAAGTGTGTACTATATAGTACCAAAACATAAAAGAATAGTTAGGCATACCATGTGCACCACTCCCTCCAAGAACTGGTGTGATAAGAGATGATATTGAGTCAATAACTAGCATCCTCACC